GGAAGTTTAAATATCTGGAAGATACTAATAAAGATAAGTTAAAACGCAAGTATGTTCGCCTAGAAAAATTATTACAGAAAAAATTTGCGAAAGCTGTTGCTCCTGGACAAGAGGAAGTACTTATCGATTTTCTTAACAGTAAAAATGTTGATGAAATAAGTAGCCTTCTCCCAGTTAAAATTATTCGTGCTCAGAAAGTATGTAAACAAAGTGATTCCATGGGAAAGTTAGTTATCCTCTCATTATTAGACCATACCAAGTATACCAAAAAATTATAATGAATACATTTGAATATACCAAACATCGTATAGAAACAGCAAGAAATGGCATGCATCTCATGAAGGGTTGGCATTTCTACAGAAGAAAGTATTCGTCCGATCTAGTCTTGATCAAATACAGTGTGAACATTTCTTAGACTTCATATTTACAAGCGGTATTTTGCATGAGGTTGCTTATGGAATAACCAAATTGAAACATGACAGCGGTGAAGAGCAAAAGATAGGGCATGCAATACTGACGACAAAATATAGCCACGCTATCATGTTCTATCGAAAAAGTTGTAGTGAAAACAATTATATACCATTATCTGATTTAAGTTTGTGGAAAGTATTGTATGCAGTTTTAGATCAATTCAGAATTGATTAACCGCATATCAAGAAGATGTTTACCAAACCTGATAATGCCGGCTGCTATCAGGGAAATCTTTCAGCTGAAGCAATCTACAATGTATGCAAAGAAAGATATATAAAATTGCTGAGATATAATTATAATGAACCCTGTTGTGGAAAAGATCAAAGTGACAGGGATAGTACAGTTTTCAAAGACAATTTTAAGGAGTCGCGTTGACTCCTTAAAATTGTAATAATCTTTTGACTGCTGAAGATATACACAAGGCTGTGCATTATAGTTTCGGCGCTAAAGATGCAAAAGTAGCAGTTGCTCAAATTAGCAATGATAAAACCCTAACCCTAACCCTTTTTTCCTAAATTTTCTACTTGATTTATTAACCATATGGTACCATATATTATTGTTATGATGTGTGGGGGCTCTATGAAAAAATTAGGTTGGTATTTTGCCATCCATATCTTCTCTGAGCCCCTGTCTGTTTATTATTTGTACATTTGTAATTATATTTTATTTTTGGTGAAAGGAAATTGTGGTTTATATAAACAGCAAAATAAAATAAAATTGAAAAAAAAAAAAACTGTAGCTACTGAACCAAAGATTAAGAACATTAGCAACTATCACTCATTTGAGTTTGGTGAGAAAAGTATGAAGCTGTGGCGTTATTTCAATATCGGTGAGAAAATTGAACAAGAGTATGGAAATCTTAAAATTCAACCCTCGATTAAGTTGTTGTTGCCATATAGCAAAACAGATACTTTAATTAAACGTAACAAGTCACTTAAGGAAAAACAGAAAAGAAGTGACAAGCAATTATGTTCATTAAAATTTTGCACTGTAATGAATTTTACCTTATCATTTGAAAGCGATGCTGAGTTAGAAGAACACATGCTATCCGGTCTTCATACAGTTTCGAAATCATTAACATCATTGGATAAAGTTCGCAAATCAATATTTGTTGATAAATGAAAATTACTTCACAACTAAATATGACAATTTCTTCATCCTCTAACAGTGTTTCCGTAAAAGACAAACCATATTTCATGAACATTTTTCTATTTCAAGGTTAGGCATTACCAGTTCGTAGTTCTTTTAGATTTTCCAATCAACAGGAAGCACTGTTGTATAAATACTTTATTTGCGGAGAAGAATCAGGTAATAAAATGAGCCCTAAGCAGGCTCATATGCAGCTGAGAAAAGAACTTCCACCTGATCAATATGTAACAAGCCAACAGATAAGATCTTTATTTTCAAGGTAGGTGTTGTTGCTGTCAAAACGTTTGGGTTGCTGTTGCGTATGAAAAACGATGGAATATTGGTTATATTGTGGAGGTAATATTATTCAAAGCGTATATTAAATTCAAGTTTTTATTTTGTTTTACAAAACAGTGCTCTAAAACAAAAGCAATATAAATAAAATGTAAAAATAATTTGAGAATGACATTATTTTAGACTTTACAAGTTTTATTGAATTTAAACAAAATTAAAAAAATCATAAACTCTTTATTATATTATTTTAAAATGTTGCACTAATACTTTTAGGTATCTATAACTGGGATCAGAGTTAATTGTATGATTAATGGGCAAGAGAAGAATGCTTTTCGCTGGCCAGTTACTCCCGAGGTGATAAATAACCAAACTAAAAAATTATCTGTTTAGTAAATGCTCCTTTTCTAATCAGTGATTGTGGCGATTATTCATTATCCAAAGAAGACAATAATACAGTCATATCATTATTCTTAGAGAAACTTACTGAAGCAGAGTAAAAAATATGTGTGATGTGGTGCATAATGTGTGTAAATGACTCTATTAATAAATGAAAAATTAATTTTTAAATGGAAATACATTTAAATGTTTGATTTATGTTTTATTTAATTAGCAATATAGTTATCTTGATGTTCATTTTTTGTTCAGTTTTTAATTCATGTTATATCATGCGTGTGACGAAATCACATTAATTATTATATTATTATGTTAGGACCACGTTGTATTGACAGTTGGATATGCTTACATTTTTACAAAACTTAGCGCCTCTGCCGTAATGTATCATTTTGTAAGTATACTATAACATTTTTTTTCAATTTCAAACCTTAATATATGAATAGGCCTTAGGATCACATAACTTTGCATTTTTAGACTCAATACCTTTAATACTTTCAAATCCTAAAAGAAAAATTGTGTGCAACACTTTGCCGCTAAAACTGAAAGTAAAACCAAAATTATAATTGAAAACAAAATCCAAAAAACTTCAATAATATATATTAATATAAAAAATCAATATAAGTCAATAATAATTATGTTTATGCTTAATAATATATTTATGTGTATTATGTGTACTACAAACAGTATTTACCAACTTTTTATTTCTACATTTTATTATACGTGAACCTAATATAAAATGAAGTATTTTGTGAAACTTGATACATTGTAAAACGAAAATACAAAAAATATTACAAGTACAAGCGGTTTCTTGATGACAAGTCCGATTAAAAATTGACAAAACTGATTGATTTTGTACTTTTGAACTATGATAACTAGCCAACCGCACAGTGTCATGGAATTTTTTATATTTTTTAAAGAGAGTTTTTGGGTTACGTCTGATATTAACTACAAAAATTTTATGTGCAACTTTTTACCTTGCCCAAAAAATGGGTTTAAAAGAAGACAAAAACTAAATTTCTAAAAGTTTTTAAAAAAATCTTAAAAATTTAAGCCCAGATTCCGAGTGAACAAAATATTTTTGAATTTTTTTTTTTTCCTAACAGGTTTTTTTCTATATTCTGATCAATATATAAAAAGTTCAAGCAATTTGGAGGAGGTCACTTCCATTGACTGCCTGATACTTGCAAAAAATGACTCTGTTTTTTTATGTTGATTTAGGTGCCCCAAGAAGTCTTTACGGTCTTATCACAGAGTACCGTGGAAGAGCATTTAATAGGAAGTTCACGCCTCCTTCCCAACCAATGTCGCAGAGGTGGGGTTTGAACCACAGTATTACATCTTTAGAAATCAAGCTTAATAGAGAAAACTCGTACAACCTTTCATTCAAAGTGAAAATCAAAAAAAGCGATAAAGAAATGGTACTCAAACCTGATGTATGGGATAACGACATTATTATCCCATACATCATTCTAAAACCGTTTAGAATGCATCGAGAAATACTCAAAAAACAACATCAAAATATCAAAAAACATTTGCCGCAATTCTTACATCACTCTAGAGTATTCTTGAGGAAATGAGTGTCAAAAACTTCTGAAGAATATTGACAAGCTTCAGCAGCTTGCATAGGTTGGCTCAGCTTTCCAAGTTTTTCCCTTCATCGCTGTGCTTCGAAGATTCAATGCTGTTGTCCAAGCATGCTTTGGCATGAATCTGGATGTCCAATACAAAAAAAAAATCAAGAGTTTCCAAGAGGCATTCCTGGCATTACCTCAAACAAGCGTCACTCCAAAAGTGCACTGTGTATTTTATCACATCCAAGATTTTAATGAGCGACACAAAGCACCTTTGGGTGCATTCAGTGAACAGAGTGTGGAGTCACTTCGTCATGATTTCTCTCTTCACTGGAATTGATTCAAGAGGCCATCAAATCATCCAGAGTATGCTAGCCGACTCAAAAACTGCATTGTGGATTACAATAGCAAACGTTTATGAGTTCAGAGCCAGATGTTTTTCTTTGGTCAAAATTTTAAATCCAGCAAAGCATACAGTATTTTTCATGGAATTTAAACATATTTGTGCTAATTAGAATTAAGAACTTGGCATAAGGATAAGTTTTTCATTTTGTTATTGTTTTTGCCCATATATTATGAATAAAGAGATAACAAGAAATGATGTGGATAATTAAATAATTCTATGTTTGGGTTGAATTATTTCTAAAACATAAAAAGTATTCTTTTGAGGTCTATCTGTGTCAAACAAAATTAAAATAATACATAGATTTTTTAAAATTGATAATTTAATTATTGTATGCTATAAAAATGCACAATTTTGTGAATGCTGTCATCTCATGAGCATGTGCAAAAAGGGTAAAAAATTCAAAGTGAGTTTTTTTTGCTCGAACGTTGTAACTAGATTTCAATATTTATATATTTTGAATCTGTGGACCATGTAGATTTACCCAGGATAGGTGGCATTCTCGCGTCAAGCCGAAGTAATTATTTCCTATTTTGGACAATTGTAGTTAGTATATACCGAGTGGGCACGGGACCTAAAATAGATGTCTTTTGAATGTTCAAAAAACGTCAATTTTTTTCGTCCCGTTTTTAATCTCATATCAATGAATACTTAAGATATATTTAAAAGTTTTTTTAAGTTATTGCCAAGTTATTAGTTTAGAAGTTATGACTATATTAGAAGTTAAATACTACATTAAATTAAAAAAACTTTTTTTTTATAAATAATTTTGGTTTCAGCGAGTTGTTTTTATAGCAACCACATTAATATGTTTAAAACTTTAAAATGGTTTTACAAAATTTCAATGCCATCACAAAAATTCCATCAAGGGCATCGCCACCTTTACTAAATAATTTTTATTTATTAAAAATAAGACATTTAAAAGAAGTTTGATGAAAGTCTTTTTTAAGTAATTCAATTCAAGTTTTTTTTAATTGGTTCAATTCTAAGCAAGTCTATTTGAATTGGTTTATAACTTTCAACGATCCCATCAACGTTTAATGTAATGCAAAGTCAATCGATCTTCAATTATTTTATTTTTTTAAAAAGTTTTTCATAACTTTTATAAAAAAAAAAAAACAGCACTCTTTAAAATAATTAGATCGAAAAAAATTATTCTGCAGTTTTTTTTTTAAATCTTGAGTGCCGTGTATTTACCGATCTTATATTTTTATATTCCATCCTGCTCATACGTCGATGTTGTTAAGATTCGATTAACTTAGATATAAACTCAAGAACATACATTTGCAATCTGACTTCATCAGGATTGTTTGTTAGATAAAACATCGGAAGACCAGCTCTCTAAACAAACAAACAAACAAAAAAACAATTTAGTAAACAAATTTAACAAGCAAATAAACTTTATAATTTTATAAGACTCTGTTTAAATAAAAAATTTATAAATTTTTCAAAATATATTTTGTTTATAAATGCTCAAAATGTAAAACTGAAATATAAAATTCAAAAACAAAAGAAAAAATTTTTTTTTTAATTTTAAAATTAGTTCATTAGCGTATGAAATAAGCTGCCATCAGATTTTACAGTTACTACACGATAAAATTTTTTGATCCGCCACTTCAAACATTTGTGACATTTCCCCCAAATTCTAATGAAAAAGATCACATAGATTAGCATAAATGTATTACCACATAGCATATGGTTGTTCATCTAATTGAGATTAAGGGCAATGATAGATGACTAAGAACCATGGATGAAATATAAACATGGTTGCAATACAACAGAAACAGAGAGGATCTGAAACTGACAATGATGATGATCTACCAAAAAAATGATGATGATGATCTACCAAAAAAGGATAGTTAAAAGAAGAGCTGAGAGAAAACCGAAAAAAAGGAAACTTTTATAGTAAATTTTTTTTTGGAAAATAGCCTCTAAATATCTCTGAATTAGATTGAATCAATGAATGTCGTTTTAGTCAATTACATCTCAAAAAGCATCTATCAATGTATCTACTAAGGAAGATCCAGAACTAGAATGTCAACAGCAAAATAAGTAAAAAGATTAACTATGAGATTTCAGCTTGGAAAAGATTTAAGAATATAAAAAATAATGGTTATTTTAATTAGCCATTTTTGACCATTATCTGAGTAAAAAAAATGGATTATAAAATGAATGATGATAGAAATGATATCATCTTTGCTACAGATTCATTGAACGAAACAAAGGTAAAAAAAAAAAAAGAAAAATAGAGTATTTTAAAATAAAGGAAAATATTTTGGTCATGTAATGTTCATGTTCACGTAAAAAAAAAATCAATATTATGTCAGAAAAATGTAGAATTTAACAAGAAGTTTTTTTGTTTCTAATGTTTTAAAAATTTTATGCTTTTGGAGAGGGGTGGGGTTATTTTTATCTAATTAAAATGTACATACACATAGAGAAGGGGGTGATTTTACTGTGTATGTACTTTATGGATGCCCCTAACTTGTAAACAACTAGCCTGAAATTTGTTGAAAACCTTTAAAAATTGAAATCTTTATTTCTTCACACTAATACTAATCTATTAATCATAAAAAATGAGCAGGATCATAAATATTACAAATCATAGACATTCTCCAGTTATATTCTTAACCTGTCTGCAATACATTAACCATTGTGTAAACCTTGAAAGAAGGGAAGCAAGAAAGTAAGACAATACTTTACAATTCATCAAAACATTTAAGACAATCAGTAAATGTAATTAAGACAATTAGTAAATGTAAAACAATTTAAATTATAATTAAATTATAAGATTACCTCAAGTGTACTCTGTTGATCTGATACTTGTTGATCTAATTCTAATAATAATTTTTGATCTAACTGTGCCATTTCCTTTTCACACTTTTGATAAAATATCTAACATTATAAAATTGATACAACTATATAGCTACATACACTTAGTAATATAGCTACATTATATACACTTAGTGTTTATCAATCTACATTATGTGTTATATAGCAACATTATATATACTTCGTGCTTATATTATACATTATATACACTAAGTGTTATGTAGCTACATTATATACACTTAATGTTTATATACCTACATTATATACACTTAGTGTTTATGTAGCTACATTATATAGCTACTTATACTTTCAATCAAAAACAATATTGAACGTAATTTAAATGTACAAAAATTAATTAAAGTTGATAATAAACTAACATAAATTTGATAAAAAAAAAAAAAAAAGTTGAAAAAAATTCACTTCCAAATTTTTAATTACAGAACATTTAAATCATATAAAAACTGTTATTTTATCTAAGAACATTAAAACCATAAAATTATATTGTTATTTTATCTAAGAACATTAAAATCATAAAATAATATTGTTATGGCAAACAAGAAAACATTAGGTAATTGTAAATTATGGATTTTAAAACAGATTGTAAAGATTTTTAAAGTTAAAGGAACCAGTTAAAGGAAATAAATCATTTTAGTTAATGTCTTTTATTTTTAATGTATTTATCTCACTAAAGGGGTTTTCCATAAATTATGTCACGCAGTTATTGACATTTTTTGACCCCTCCTCCCTCGTAACGCCTCCGTAACACTTTATTGACCCCCACCAAATATTACGCAACAATTTTGTACCCCCTACCCTAAAAAATTTTGTAAGTTTTTTTAAAGAGGATGGGAGGGGATGCAAAATTTTACAAAATACAAAACGATTTTAAATATAATAATGTCTATAATTCTCTGAGCTTCTTTGAGTTAATTAAATAGTACTTTTCAGTCTGTTTAATGTTTTTTTTTCTCCACAATTGTTCCGTGTAAAATTATATAAATTAACATCACTCTCCTAAACATGATACTAATTTTAAAAATCTATTTCTCCGATATATAATACATGCAAAATATTATATATATATATATATATATATATATATATATATATATATATATATATATATATATATATATATATATATATATATATATATGTATGTATATATATATATATATATATATATATATATATATATATATATATAAAATATATAATAAATAATAATATATTATACATGCAAAAATATTAATTTATAAATACAAATTTCTTACAACTAACAAACATAGTATTGTGAATTCTGCTTCCGGTTAGTAAACCAAGGGTTCCAGGTTCGTTCCTCAGTATTGAAAAGTTTTTTTTTTTTAGTCATTGCACAAAGATTGTTTTTTTGTTGATGCTCACTTTTGTGCACCAACTAAATAAAATTCTTCGCTTGAACCATATAAATTCAAAGCGCAGAACATGCACTGCACAAACAGCCGTAACAGTCCATTAACAGGCTGTAACCATTAACAGGCTGTAACATTGTGTACACATCTACTAAGTAAGATTTAGGCATAGTTAATTATACAATCAAAATTATACAATCATGTAGATACATCAACTGAGGGTTTTGGTTTGGTCAGATACTCTTTTAATTAAAAGAACGAGGGGGCCTGAAACAGTCAATAAGACAACTAACTTTTAATCTACTGTTATAATGTTATTACAGCTTGTTACAATGTCTTCCAACTGTATAACTCCAAACTATATACTTTGTAGAACAAAGCTGCCATGTGGAGAAAAAAGTTGTGTGCAAGTGTGCAGGAAACAGAAACAAGTTGTGTGCACATTGGTAGTAGTAAATAACAGATAACAATAAAAAGTTAAAAAAAGTTTTTTTATCAAATTTTTTGGATCAATATTTATTATTGATCCGAAAAAATTTTTAATACTCAGTAACTACTAAAGTGTTCTATAAAACAATTTTCATAATTGATTTTAATTTAAAAGTTCAACTCATAAAAGAAGCTTCTTAATAAAATCTAAATCATTTACAAATTCATGATTGTATGTCATACAACTACCTGATTGTGATTTCTTTTATAATATTCTTTGTGATAATCCTTGAGCTGATGTCTTTTAGCTTTTTTCTGAAAAGTGCACCTTCTATAAAATCATTTGGATTCAGACAGGCATATAAGCTTTTTTTTGTCAGTTTCAAGTCAAGCCTCACTCTACCACATAATGTTCTCCTTCTTATTGCTATATCCCATTGTAATCATTTCATTCACTTTCCTGAAAACAAACATCGTTATATCAATTCAAGAAATCAATGTAAGAAGGACTAACACAAAGGCATACTATATTCTGATCACTTAATTTTGTATTTTATCTTAGAAGCTAGGTTCTAGAGACTTTTGAAAAATCTTAAATCTTGATAATGAAGCTCATAAACAAAAGGCGTCTAATACTTAATCTCTAATATTCGGATCTTATTCTAAGAATAAAGTACGATTGAGAATAAAAAGATTTAGTATTAGTCAATACCTTATTGCACTAACTCTTGTTATCATAAAAAGATGTTTTTCTCAGCAAAATAATATTATAATAATAATTTTCAAAAAAGAAAAATCTAAAAAAAAAAAAAAAAAAAAAAATGTTAGCATAGATCATCACAAAATAAATCATAGAAAGTCAGTTAGTAGTGAGAAATGCAATGTGCAATGATCCATGACATCAGACATGAGAATAATGAGGTAATAGTTTTAGTAAAAATAAAGTGCCACAGAAGGAAGAGAAATGGAACACAATTTAATTACTCAGAAATCTAAATGAGAAATTATAAAAACTGTTTTAAATGCCAGGTTGCTGGTACTAGAGTTATTAGACTATTTAGTGATATCATATTAAAGCACCAAAAACTACTCTTTAGGTAAATAGAACAAGCCTAATATTATTAGAAACAAAATAATGAAGATTTCTTAAACTAAACCATTTAACAAGTAACGCATAAATAAAACATGGAAATCAGTGCTACTAAATCCTATTAACAATTTCAAAGAAAACATAGAGATTGATTTGAGAGAAAGTTTGAAGTCCAAAAAACAATAAAATCATAAAAAATAACTTTAAACAATTTGATTAAGTTTTTTATAATAAATATTTTTAATAACTGAAAATATTTGTAGCCTAAAGGAAAAATGAAAAAAAAAATTTCATTTCAAAGATAAAAAATGTTTTTTTTTTTAAATTCTAAAGTTAAAAAAAAATTGTTATTAAATTAAACATTTAATTTACAAATTAGGGTTAGGTCAGGTTATCCTGCTACTAATAAAATGTAACCCAGTACAACCTGCTTCATATTCTGCTGCTTTGTAGGATATGCTTTTTTAGGCAAAGGCTAGGAGAAGCCAACTCCAACTTCAAACACCCCCTAACTTAAGGCTATTGGTTGAGTAAAGGTTAGAGATGGTGTCTTGATAAAAATACTCATCTTGGGCAGATGTTAAATGCATCAGGCTACTGTCTTGTAGAAAGCCTTCTAGGCAAAGACTTGAGGGGTAAACAGATTCTATTTGTTGACCAGCCTCGCACCCCTTCTTTATCTATTAGGCTGGCGCAGATGTATTTTTAATACATTGTTTATAGTTTTGAATGTTGAAAGAGGGATCTTCTTGACTCATTGCATAAGTTTTGTTTGTGTCTCTGTTTTTATGACTAGGCAACTCAATCTACTATCTCCTAATGAGGGTACAGCTCTAAAATTAATGGTTCTGAGGTATGCTGGTAGTCAGGTTTCTTGAGCTTAGGGTTTATTAGGGTTTATTAGCTTAGGGTTTATTAGTAGTAATGAGGCAATTGCTTGGACTTAAATAGTGTACTGAGTACTATCTGTGCTTTGAGTCAAGTTCTTTAACCAATTTAACCAATCAAAAACTATAAAACACAAAAAACAATTATCACCAAGTTATCTAAATTGATCATTCACTAATATTCGTAGTCTTTAATGTAACTTTCCTGATGTTAAGCCTTATCTCTTGTAAAGTTCACCAGACCTACTAGCTCTTCGTGGGACTAAATTGAGTTCAGCTGTCTGATCTTGTGATCTTAGTGTTGATGGTTATCTTCCTTTTATTAGACTCCAATAGTCACATGCTTGGCCTGGGCATTTACATTTGTAAGAAGTCACCCATTTGTCTGGAAACTAGGTTTGAATCCACAGACTATTTTTTTATGTGCTTTTGTTTAACACCATTTTTTTCTATTACTTCTATTGTTGTTGTTGGTGACTTTTATGTTCATCACATTGATTGGCTTGATTCTAGTGTCAGTGACTCTGCAGGTGTTAAGGTACAAAACTTTTTCCTTTCTATCTCTAACATAAAAAGTCAATTTTCCAACTTGCTTTCCAAACAATCTAAATCATATACCTTCTCTAATTGACTTAGGTCTTGTTTCTGATCCTGTCAGTGCTTAGTTTCTCCACATTTACCATTAGGTGCTTCAGATCACGGTTTGATCTCTCCAAAACAATTATCACATTCTTCTTCATCATCAGAATCCCCCTACTATCATACCTTTTATAGCTACCAATGATCTCACGGAATGAGTCTGCTGACCCGGACTCTTTCCGTGATTTTTTTCATGATGGCTCTTGGGTAGAAATCTTTTATCTTCCTGATGACAAATGTGCTTTTGTGTAACTTCTTGGATTCAGGCTGGCACAGAATCTTTTATCCTCTCTTAACAATTTAAAGTCAAGCCTCACTCTTCTTCATTGTTTTCCTCTCATTGTGCTGCTGCAATATCTAATTGTAACCAATACTTCCATATCTATTGCCAAAGCAATACTCAAGAAAACAGATGTCTGTTTACTACTGATAGAAACCATTAAAAAAAGGTTTTGTCTAGCGCCAAATCTTTTTTTTCTCAGGTCACAAAATCTCGTAACTTAATCTCAAAAATTAGGCTCTAGAGACTTTTGAAAAAGCGTCTATAGTAAGGGAAAATCTGTTATTCCTCTTCACTTGCATGATTCAGAATTTATTATCTCACCTAAAGACAAAGCTGACTTGTTTGCTAAGAACTTTTCATCAATCTTATCTCTTGATTCCACCAATCACATCCTATTTGGTATAGCCAACAAAATGATTGATTCATTACTTGACATTTGTTTCATTCCAGCTTCTGTACCTAAAGTGATTTCCTACTTAGATTCTTCTACAGATTATGTCCCGGACAACTGTTATAGTCCTGCAGAAATGTTCTTTAAAAGTATATTACTTTTAAAAACACATAAAAAGTAAAAAAATTAGATAAATAAAAAAAAAAGTTAACTAAACTACTATTATTTATATAAACTACTATTATTTATAAAAAATTAATTAATAAAATTATTATAAAAAAGTAATTATAAAAAAACCTTTTTCTCGTCAGCATGGTGTCTCTCCAAAACTAGTATGTGATGAGGTCGACTTTGAGATCTTTCAATACTTTCTTGATGACGCTTCAACATAGCTATTTTTTTCACTAAAAACAAAAAAAAAGTATTATATAAATTTGTTATTTATGTGCATAAATAATTATGTTAATTATGAGCATAAACAATTTTCTTTGAGACAGTAAAGAAACTTTCATTTTAATAAAATTAAACTATAATAATGCAATGACTTGTATAAAAGGTGAACTTTATGATATGAGATAACTTTATTGTATAATAAAATGTTAGTTTAGGGTTAGGATTTCAAATACTAGCTACATTTTATGTTTTTAGCATTTTGCAACACTATAAATATAAAATCTCGCATAATATATCTTAATAATCTTCTTTAACAGCGTCCACATCTTTAATGTGAACATCCTTTATAATCAATAAATGCTGATCAGTTATACTAAAAAACTTTTTTCTGTACAGGCTGTTTTTTTTTTTTTTTATATGGACATAACTTTCACACATTTCTACTAAGTTATCACTAATTTATTATTTCAATTTTTAGTATTGAAAATTTTTTTTAGTTTAGCCAGCAATGCCTTTAAAACTAAAATGTTCAGCTGCCTTATTTTTAAAAAACGTATACTATAATTTTTCAATGATAAACATAATTAGACTAAATTATTCTTACTAACTTCAGGTAAGTAGTTTTTTAAAACGTATTTTTTATTTAATATGCTGATATATTTTAATTTAATTTGAAAGTTAAAAAAAACACAAAGGAAATTTAAAAACAGTTAAATGCCTCAAAGTTTTTTCCTATGTTTTTATTAGATCACAAAAAAAAAAAATTTAAATGAAGTTACAACTGTTAGCTTAGTTATTCACTCAAGCAATTCTTCTAGAAAGCAAATATTGAAAAGAGTTACTTTAACTAAGGATGGTTGTTAAATAATCATACAGCTTGTTGGTGATTCCAAGAATTATGTGACTCCATGATTAGCAAAATATTAGGAAAACTTGCCGACCATATTTTGTTGCTGCCCAAATTCAAAATTAAGTTTTTTTTTTTTTTTTTTACAGCAAATAGTTTGTTTCACAAAAAATGCCTACATTCTGCAATAATTCTGCTAAATTTCGCTGGGAAAGGGTATATTACCACCAAAATTATTTTCCTATAATAGCCCCTATTCCTAAAACAAGGTGAAAATGAACAGGTTTTATAAGGTGGGGTTGGGAGAAATACTGTTAAAGATCAAACAGATAACATAAATTATATTTTGTGTATAACCTTTTACTTCAAATCAGTTTATGTGAAAAAATTTATGTACTAAGCTTAAAACTTTGTAAATATTGTGATATATGTTTTTTCAATATATATCACAATAATTACAAAGCTGCCATATATAAAACAGAAAAAATATTTAAAACAATTGTCCTACTATGTTGTAGTCAATGAAGTCTACTAGAAGTTTAATTTCTAAAATTTACTAGAAGTTTAATGTACATAGAAACAAATAGTACCCAAATAAACTTTCCATTGAATTACTTGTCTTGTTTTTCCACCATGCTGTTTTGGAACTTGATCAAGTTTTATTTTTTTATGTAGTGCTCTTTTAGGAATATTATGTTATGCTTGAGAGTGACTTGTTTTACAACACCTGCTATTTTCCTTTCTTTTGTAATTTGGAGGAATAATTCTTAAAACTAGCATAGTAAAACTTTGCTAATTTAAAACCCTTGGTTAAAAAAAATGTAATCTTTAAATAAACAAATAACCTGATAGAGAAGCTATTCCCTAAACTTTGGTTTTACTAAAACAATGTTTACTTTTTGTGTAGTAATTTTTATGTTTTGATATACACTTCTTAAGATATCGTTTGATAAGTCACCTAATTGAACCATAGAACTCTTGCTATTTATATGCAATAAAAAAAATACTAGAAAATAAAAATTTTTGGATAGCCAAAATTTACTTCTAAATATTATAATTAAGTCAACTGAATCAAAATAATACAATATTTAACTCTATTGTGTATGTGGCTTTGATATTTACCAAATTTGGTACTGATGTTCATTTTCATCGTGTTGTTCATAGTCAATCCTATTGACTGTATATTTTTGAATAACTGTCGCCTCTAAAATTATTTAATCAACTTGATGCTCAAACATATTTTAAAATAATATATTACTTTTATGTTCTTCTAGCAATTTTGTTCTCTGGGTGTAAAGATTTTTCTCAGTAATAAACTGAATGTCTTGAAGCCCTTTCACTATTTCAAAAACAGTACCATCCAAAATTGCATGAGCTAGTTGACAAATCACATCATAAGATAATTTTTTTTTGAACTCGCTAAAAGGAAATTTAAAATTTAGGCTTAATTTTAAGTAAACAATTTTGATTGTTACAATTTAAAACAATAATAATAATAATAATAATAATAATAATAATAATAATAATAATAATAATAATAAAATTAATAATAATAACAAAACAACAACAACAACAACAATAATAAAGACATACGATGAAAGCGGTCTAATCATTTTTTGTAAACTTGATATATATGTTTCAAGCTTTCTTGGATCTGGCTTTTCCTTCAAAAAAGTATCTATGGTTGGCGATTCGTGGCTATCAATAGAAGGAGCACACGGATCGTATTCCACACTCAATAGTTCGTTTCTTTGGTTCATGAATTCATCGTCAAATAAAGGAAGTTCTTTTTCTGAATTGTTTGATCCAAAATTAAGCTGATCTGAGTTAAAATCATCAGACGATTTTAGCCAGCTCTGTGGATCATAAGTCATATTAAAAATTATAAATGTTGTTTATCTCTTCGCAGATATGAAGAAAAATACGAAAAATACAGGAAGATATCATAAATACTGATTTACGATTATAACACAATCGCACTGTGTACGTACGTCCGTGTACAATTGCACTGTGTACGGGTACGTCCAGATGCATTCTTAACAACAAAAAAAGTTAGGTCGATACTATTTTTCAGGTTTCGCTTTTTTGTAAAATCAAGACCTAAATTATTTAAATTTACTTAAACCATATAAACTTATTTTCTTATAACAATTTGCATAGATAAATAATTTAATATGTTTATTATATTAAATAATTAACATATTATAGCAAAATTTGTTATTACTTATCACTATTAAAACCGAATTCGATATTCAAGCACTTATTATATTCAGGTCAGGATTTTATAAAAAAAAGCAAAACCTTGAATTACTCACTGGAATTTAGTTTCAACGAATATACGTTTATGCTATCATGGAGGGAAATTTTTTAAAAATCAATCAAAAGGAAAGCATCCAAGTCATAGGTATATGTTATTTAAAAAATGTAAAACACAAATATAATAAATACTATCTCATATATATTAAAGCAATCAGATAAAAGATTGTGGACCGGCTCAAAAATGAAAGTTTACTTTGAAAAAATAAGTTAGTTCTCTTCGTCAGGGATGCGGAGTCCCAAAAAAGACTCCGGATTTGAAAGTCACAAAAAAATTACTTCTTCATAGTTATGGTATCCAAGAGCTATAAAAGTATAAAAAGGTTTATGGACTACTAAATAAGAAAAAAATTAAAACTTTTAGGTAAGAGGAACAATCATTTTTTGAATCTGGAGTCCTTAGGTATAATTGCGGCAAGGATTCCGGGACCCCAGGACTCTGGGCTTAAAAATAATAAGTTCTAAGTCATTAAACCACATGAATTTTTTTTATAGCAGATCATAAGTCAACAAACATGTTTAGAGCTTATAAACAATACAGACCTGAAAAAAATAGAGATATAAAGCCGGAGTCCTTTTAGTACTCCGCATCCCTGCTCTTGGTTATTAAACAATAAATAAATAACAGTTATTTATTTTTTAAATAATTTAAATAATTCTAATAAATCAATGCATTTAAAGTTTTATGTATAAAAATGTTTAACTATTTTAAAAAAATAATTCTTTACAAATGAATAGGTTTTTTATCCAATTACTTATTTGTTGTTTATAATTATAGAAATATTAACATTTAGTATACGTTTATATTTTAATATACATCTATATATATCTATATCTATATATATAACTATATCTATATATATAACTATATATATATAACTATATATATATATATATATATATATATATATATATATATATATATATATATATATATATATATATATATATATATATATATATATATATATATATATATATATATATATATATATATATATATATATATATATATATATATATATATAAATTTCTGATGAGTCTTTATTGATGAAACGCAGTGTTAAATGAGAAAAAATTTTGCTAAGTGATTTTCTACTAATTTGTAATTGCTCTGTTCTTTTAAGAACATTGAGCACTCTTTTTGTAGAATACATTTTAAATTGTTTAAATATATATATATATATACATATATATATATATATATATATATATATATATATATATATATATATATATATATATATATATATATATATATATATATATATATATATATATATATATATATATATATATATATATATATATATATATATATAAAGTAGTAAAAAATCTCTTGGAAATTTTTTTTTTTATTTAACACTGTGTTTCATCAATAAAGACTCTGATTGTTTTATTTATTTAATTTCTGATGAGTTTTTATTGATGAAACACAGTGTTGAATGAAAAAAAATTTTTGTTAAGTGATTTTCTACTACTTTATTATTGCTCTGTTCTTTTAAGAACATTGAGCATTCTATTTTGTAGAATACATTTTAAAATTGTTTATATATATATATATATATATATATATATATATATATATATATATATATATATATATATATATATATAATATATATATATATATATATATATATATATATATATATATATATATATATTTCGATTTTTCCAGTTGAGAGTTTTTAGATATTAATTTGTTATAAAGACAAGGACCACGGTACGAAATAGAAAAGCGCGAGAGATTAGTTTTTTTAAAAGGTACGTTGAAGTTTCCCGTTCCTCTGGTATGATATCAGCTTTTGCTATTTTGAAAGAAATTCTTTAAAAAATGAGAAAATACAAGTCCAAGTTTATATTTGAGCATAAACAACAAATTTTGGAATATATTGATTTGATATCTCCTAGTACTATACTAGGTAATAACACTAAGGGTCATTTTAGTATCATTTGGAGATTCTTAGTTTCAGAACTGTTCACCAAAAGTGAATCTCAATCGTTTAATTACAAAAAAGCTGATTACGATTCAATATCTAACTTTATTGCATCAATCGACTGAGAGTTTTTATTTCTGCATAAAACTGCAGATCAAATGTTCAATATACTAATTTCTAACTATAGATTGATAAAACACATAAAAAGTATGATCCTTGGGTTACCTCACATATAGATCCGAGCAAAAAAATCCGCTTGGCATATTAACTGCTCTACCAAATGGGAGAATAGTGAGCTTAAAATAAAATACAATCGACTTAATTGTTCAGTAAAATATTTAAAGCAAAAAAAGCATATGAAAAAGAAATAATATCAAAATCCCAAAACAACCCAAAACTCGTTTACAATTATATCAACAAACAACTAAAAATTAAAGATCGAATTCGCTCTCTCAAAGATACTTCTGGCAGAATTATTGAAGCTCTTCCTGATATAGTTGATCTTCTGAACTCTCAATTTGAATCTATGTTTACACTTGAAAGCTCTTCATATGGAATCTCATAAAATAAAATATAAAAGTATATACATTACAACAAAATTAAGTTAAATCAAATAGGGGCTCAAAGAAGATAACGATAACATTACGTTATCGCAATCTTTTCATAGAACCCCTAGGTACAAGTTTAAATAAAACAACGTAAGAATAAATAGCTCGTATAAAAATATACTTATAACAATGTTATCATTAAAAAGTCAAGATAAGGTTAAATTAATCAATAAAGTAAGAAGAAAAAACTTTATCTTAAATTCAAATTTTAAAAATTTCTTTTTTTAATTTAAACTTAAATGAATTTAAAGACTTCACCATAAATTTAAATTCCTTTTGACAGTCATTCCATAATTTAGGTCCTCGATAAGATATACAAAATTCTGAGAGTTTATTACATTTCCGAGGCAATTTAAAGTTTTTATTTCTATTTGATCTTGGACCATACTTTTCATTTGAATTTATTTCAAACTTATCTTTAAAGTTTGCTGGCAAGAGGTTGTTATAGTATCTATACATAAAATTTAGATGCTGATAAATATTTATTTTAAATATATCCATCATTTTCATATCTCTCATAAGAGGCTTTGCATGTTCACGTTTATGTTTACAGTATATAATACGGCAAGCGTGTTTTTGGAGCCTATAAATTTTTTGAAGTTTTGAAGTTCGCGAACTTGCCCATGATATATTTGCATAGTTAATAAAACAGTGTATCAGTCCAAAGTACATTAATTTGAGGCTTAACATATTGACGTATGGTCTAACCCTATACATTACGCCAATAGTTTTGGTAACTTTTGAATGAATGCAATTTATATGGAAAGCCAGGATAAATTTTCATCGATAAGGATTCCGAGGAATTTTATGCTTGCTTTTTTATTATCGTATCATTTAAGTACAATTCGCGCAATTTAAGAGAAATGTTTAATTCTTGAGTTTTTGTTATGGAATAGAGTATAGTTGGTTTTCTCAACATTAAGTGTGAGTTTGTTAGCTTTAAACCAACTATTTACTTTATTCAATTCTATGTTCATGTCTGTATAAAGATGTTTAATATGATTATTGGTAAGAAATAAATTAGTATTGTCTGCAAACATTATAGAGTTCAGTTTTAATGATGCATTACAAAAGTCGTTAATATAGATTAAGAATAAGAGCGGACCAAGGATTGATCCTTGTGGAACTCCGCAAACAACATTTAATATTCCGGATTGCACATTATGAACATATTGCTTTCTATCAGTAAGAAAACTTTTAATCTAGAAATAGGTTGCATTAATTATACCATAATGCTTAATTTTTTGTAAGAGAATGCAATAGTCGACTGTGTCGAATGCTTTAGATAGATCTATAAAAACTCCTAAAGTAAATTTGTTATTGTCAAACCCATCAGTTATTTGGTTGACTATTTCAATAATTGCATGCTCAGTCGAGTGATTTTTTTGAAATCCGAATTGTTTTGGGTAGAATAAGTTATTTTTAATGAAATATTCGAAGATTCTATTATAAATTACGGGTTCAAACAAATTTGAGAACACAGAAAGTAAAGATATAGGTCTATAATTTGTAATGTTCGAATGATCATTACCTTTGTAAATTGGGATTACTTTAGCTATTTTAAGAGCATCAGGGAAAACACCAAACTTTAATGAGAGTTTTATTATATGAAATAAAGGTTTGCTTAAGCTAGTTTTTAAGGTATGTCGCTAGGTATTTCATCATATCCTGGGGATTTATTTTTTTTTAAAGAAGAGTATGCTGTTTCAAATTCTTTATAGCTTAATTCATTGTCATACAATATTTTGTCATTAGAGGGTTTTAGGTAGGTTTTAAATGATTCTAATGTTGGTGTTATCTTATTGGCAAGATTTGGGCCAACATTTGTAAAATACTTGTTGAACTCTTTTGAAATTAAGTTTTCATTGTATATATCAGTGTTATCAATATTAATTCTTTTAGGTAGTAAAGATGCAATGTTTTTTTCTTTACCGATTATATTATTAATTATGGACCATGTTTTTTTACTATTAAACTTGTATTTGGAAATTAGCGTGCTGTAATAGCTTTTCTTTACATTTTTAATTAGTGCATGGTAAAAGTTTTTATATTTTTTGTAATTTTTTTCGTTTTCAGTGTTTTTATTTTTTAGGAATTTATTATACAATTTTTGCTTTTTTTTAGAACATTTTAACAGCGATTTATTCATC